TATAGAAAGCCGTTATATGATTTTTCTACCGAATATAGCGTCTTTCTTTTTCAGTTTAACTTTTTATTTTTCTCACCATAAATTGACATCTGCACTAATGTACTAAGATTGTTTTATTATGTTCTACAATACTTAATACACCTCTGAATCTTGAGACTTTGTTTAGCCGTTATGTTCTCATATTGCCTTTATTAATTCATCTATACTATATGTAGTTATTGTTACACGTTCAAAATCTTAGTTTAAATTATCGCAAACAAAAAACATTCCAGATGCTTTTGTTTTTTTTTAACTTGTTTTGTGTTTGCCTTTTGTTTTTTTATTGTTTTTTTTTCATTCATTTTTTGCACGGAACAAAGATCTCGATTTAATATAAATGTATAATGCCATGTAATATAAAATCTTCAAATACTTAATTACTGATTTAGAGCATAAGCCTTGAGCAAGCACACTACTCATGTTAATTGTTAGAAAGATTGAAATCCAAAGTAAAACTCAAACAAAATTTATTACTTTTTCTTTCTTAAAAGTATATGTATGTATTATTCCGTCCCCTATTTATTGCAAATGTAGACATATGTGGTCCATTAAACATTTAAAAGCGATATATTACGTATTTCTTATTAGTAGAACGTTGTAGCATAATGTCCATTTGTGATTTTCAGACATATCTCTGAATGATTCTCTAACGTGTTGATGCTCATTGTTAACTTTAGTGGTCGATAGAATTGGTCGCTAGCTTGATTGGTCGCTGGAATTGGTCGCTAGCTTGAGTCTGGTCAAATGATCAGCAAGACAAGATCAACAATAAGCCATAATGGCTGAAATCTTCAGTCGACTCTTGATTGGAGTTAAACGTTATCACCCTCTAAAGTTATTTTTTAACATTGCTTTTGCATGTTTGCCTATTATCTTGAAAACTATAATAGATAAATAGAAACTTTAAAAAGAAAAATTATCAGCAGGATAAGGTCTACAAATGTGTCAACATGACTGAAATTGTCAGTTAACTCTTAATTATTTTAATAAAAATCATCATTAAAGGGGAATAACTTAAATGTCGCAATTTCGAAAACAACATCTGTTCGCGATGTTTTATTTTCGCATTATCATTGTTCCTGACTTTTTTCCCTAAAATGTTAAATACGCAAAGGAATATTTTGCGAGGGAATATATGTCTAATCGCGAAACTAGCGAGTAAATAGACCCCTCAAGAAAATATCCACTTAACAGTTTGCCACTAGATGCGAAGGAACTACCATCCTGAGAATATATATTAAATGTATCCTACCGTAGGTTAAACAAAGAACAATCAAGTGTGTATCATCAGTAAATTACCGGTTCACAGTCGAGTTAAGAGAAATCTTCACGACTTAAAGGATGGATGTGATAATTTATCGGCTGAATGACTTTTAAAACAAAATTTCTCTCAAGTAATGGTTTTAATTAGAATTAATTTGTTCAACACTTTCCTCAATTAATTGACAAATTTATAATGAAGCAGTTTAGTAACATTGATATCAGCCCTTTGTAGCATGATGAATAAAAGTAACATTCATATCTACTACTTGTCGCATGAAGCAATAACGAAGCATTCATAGTTACTGTTTTTCACATGTAGCAGTTTAGTAGCATTCATATTGGCAAGTTTTAACTTGGAGTAGTAAAGCAGCATTTATATCGACTATTTTGCGAAGTGGTGACGTAACACTGATAATTGTCATTTTTCACTTGAATTGGTTAAGTGACATTTATAACGACTATCCTTACGCGTAAAGCAGAAAAAGGGGATATCAAGTGTTGTTTTTTTTTTTTTTTTTCATATTTAGCAGTTAAGTAGAGCAAAAATTTGCACGATGTTTTGCGTGAACCATACAGTAAAGTAGCATTCATGTCGATTGGGTTTTTCTTTTCACGTAAGACAGAAAAGTTACATTAACTATATCAGCTTTTCTCTCGAAGCAGACAAATAAAATTCATTTCGATTCGTTTACGTGGAGTCCACAAAAAACGTAAAAATAACCTTTTTTGTTTGAAGCAGTAAATAGCTTTCATATCGACTTTTTCACGTGAATTATTCAAATAGCAATTATGTTGAATGTTTTTCTTCTTTTTTCTACGTGAAGTAGTAAATTACTGTAATGTTGATTGTTTATGTGAAGAAATAAAAAGGCATATCGAAGAAACATTAAAATCGATTTTTGTTTCTCTCTCTTTCAAATGTCTGTAATATACATCATTGATTTTGTTTGATAAGTTTTGTAACTGACTTAGTTTTGTAATATTTCAGGATCCATATCCAAACCTTAAGAAAATAACTTATAATCCGTCATGGAAACAGAGATACAATGTGGCATTGGTCGGTTTCAACCGAATTGTTTTCAATGTTGTGCAACAATGAAAATCTTTACTGTGTTTTATTCAATATCAGCTTTAATGACATCCACTCTATCCGTATATATAGCGTCACAGATTACAACGATTGAAAAACAGTTTGGATTCACAAGTACCCAAAGTGGCTTACTGATGAGTTGTAATGATATTGGTTACTTGGCTGTAACTCTATTTGTCAGCTATTTTGCAGATAAAGTGCATGTTCCTCGTGTTCTATCCTTTTCAACATTATTGTTCGGTGCTGCCGGAATAATTTGTGCAATACCATATTTTGTTTCACCGATGTATTCAAAATCATTTTTGCCGAAAACTTCGAATGTTAGTCGAAGTGATGTTTTTTTATCCAAGATGATGTCATCAGGACAGCTATGTAAATGCCTCATCAACTTTCGCCCAATCAAATTATAATATGAGCTGTAGTTCAAATTCAGATACTCATACGTCGGTAGGTGTTGCAAACGACTTCAGGTTGCAATTCTGTAAATACAGACAATGCAATTTCCCACAGGAACTCCCTTTGCGGCTAAAACTGTGACACTTTTACTATGAAGTTTCGTGAAAAATAATATCCCAGAACGGAAAGTTTATATGCACTACTATTTTATTGAAAGGTCAAAATATAGGGCTGTGCGGCATATTTTCAACATTTATATGCCCTGAACTTCTAAGAGTTTAAACTTATACTAAAATTCTATACTACCCTTACCTCCATTTTTGGACCTCCTAAGAATTAAAATTTAGCCGCTACCATGTTTATCTATACTGGTTACATTCCCAAGTGATGTCTCTATGAGATGAAACACAGAGATCATCAATGAGAACCAGTACGTTAACAAATTAACATACCTATGAATATTAAATATCTCCCCAAAAGAGGCGTGGTTTGAGAAACAGCTGTATTTACAAAGTGCAACCTATACAAACATTTATTCAAATAGAAAACTCTCTAAAAACACTTTTTCTCACAACAATACTTATTTATCAGAATTATAGCCTTAAAGAAATCACTGCATATACTCTATGTCTCCTTTTACAGTACATTTTATACCCCTACCCCTGTTTCAATTTTTTAAAGATTTTGAAAACAAGACTCTTATTATTGTCAGCTTACCCTATGTGCATGTTTTCTGACATGAACTGTCTAAAACCTGTTTGAAACTATTCTGATAACAAATTGAAAGCATTTTAGAATACTATAAATGTATTGTTTAGTAGTTAAGCATTCCAACATTCAAGATTATACAAAGTATCCAATCCTGCCTGTGTCTCCAGTCCACATCTTACTGTATGCCTATTTGTCAATGAAAGTTCACAATTTCTGCCTCAAATGGTCAGTTTAGAATTCTTGTCACAACAGTATCATCCCTAACCATATATCTAACATAAGTTAGTTAATATATGTCCTAGAAGTGTTTAAACAAAGGCATATTTGCAAAAGTTGTATTTATGAAGATATCAGTCTGGTGCATAAATTCACTAAAAGTTTGATTGAAATGACTGCTTACATCTGATTTTTGCATAACTTCCTAGCACAGTTATTGTTTACTTTATAAAAGACCTTTAAAATAAAAAAATCATAGCATTTACAAGTTAAATTATCTGTTTTATGACTCAGGGGTAGGCATTTTCCTCTGTTTTTTGCCCCTGGGGCCTCACATTTCCTAATTTTTTTCCCTGTTTCTAGCAATGTGAAATATTTACTACATATTTAGGATAGAACACACTATTGTAAGTTTATCTGAGGTCTTTTTGTAATTCTAGCTTGTACTTTTTTATGCCGCAGTCACAAAAAAGCACATTTAGGCGTTACGGCTTACTTTTGGGTTATCGACAGGACAAAAACACCCCACCAGAAATATTTAGAAAGGTTGCAATTACTGCGAAGAGTAAATATAAGCACTTCTAAACAATTTAAATTACAAATAGGCATATATTATGAATTTATTTTGAATTCAGGGCTTTAAGTAAACCATGCATACTGTAAACTGTGAATTTATGCTGAGTCATCATAGTTAAGGCCCAGGATTTTCTCAATCTTCATGAAATATTTATAAAACTTCATATTTGAGTTAAATTCTTTAAAATCTCTGAGATAAACCAGATTTTGTGAAATTCTGTATGTTCTATTTTTTAACCCTATATAGGTTGCAATTCTGTAAATACAGACAATGCAATTTCCCATAGGAACTCCCTTTGCGGCTAAAACTGTGACACTTTTACTATGAAGTTTCGTGAAAAATAATATCCCAGAACGGAAAGTTTATATGCACTACTATTTTATTCAAAGGTCAAAATATAGGGCTGTGCGGCATATTTTCAACATTTATATGCCCTGAACTTCTAAGAGTTTAAACTTATACTAAAATTCTATACTACCCTTACCTCCATTTTTGGACCTCCTAAGAATTAAAATTTAGCCGCTACCATGTTTATCTATACTGGTTACATTCCCAAGTGATGTCTCTATGAGATGAAACACAGAGATCATCAATGAGAACCAGTACGTTAACAAATTAACATACCTATGAATATTAAATATCTCCCCAAAAGAGGCGTGGTTTGAGAAACAGCTGTATTTACAAAGTGCAACCTATACTCCTGTTGCCATGGCAATTATTGCCATTGGAATGATACTTCAAGGAATAGGAAAGTCTCCAAGACAAGCTTTTATTACCACGTATATCGACAACAATGTTAAAAAAACTCAAACAGCTGTTTATGTCGGTGAGTTATTCCATATAGTTTTTAACTATTTGAATTATAAGAAATTTACAAATTAGTAATATGAAAACCAATTGGTTAGTCATTTTAACAGTCTGATATACATTTAAAAAATATATGCACACGACAATCTCCTTTGCTTGAAGGTAAGAGTGCCAATAAGGCAACTATCCAACTGTGTCCAAAATGAAGCAAATTTAAACATCTATAGGTCACCGTCCGGCTTTCAATAATATACAAAGCAAATACCGTATATATTTATAGTCAGCTATTGCATAAAAGGCATCACAATATACGAAACAAGTCAAACGAGAAAACAAGCACCCGGATTTAAAACACAATAACCAAAAAACAAATATGACAACAACCAACAAATATGACAACAAACAAACAGCAACCAACGACAACCACTAAATTACAGGCTTCTGACTTGAGACATGAAAAAAATGTGGCGGGGTTAAACATGTTTGTGAGCGATCAACACTCATCCCAACCCGAGACAGTAGTATTACGGCTTAACGTAATAACAAACTTTGAAAATTAGTTGGAAATGGTTTGAATCATCGGATCGGTAAGAAGCACAAAAGCAACTTACATTAAGACAAAAAACACAAAGTGTCGATCTAAGAGTACTTACAGTTACTGATAGCTAGTTCAAAGCCAATGAATAAATCAGTTTCTTCTAGTAAATATATTCTAAAAGAATCAAGCATAAAAAAGGTCAAACGGTGTCATAAATCATAGAACCTGGTCATCGATATTTATCGATAACAGTGATTGACTTTTGAAGAAAAATTTGTAACCTTTGACACATAGAATTATGTCTTAAAATAGTTAATCTTAAAACAGTTCAACATAAAATATAACACAAACTGACATTGTCAATCTGTGTATGGTGTGACTCCTAACATAAATGAAATCGGCCGTTAATTGCCCGATTTAGTATATGTACTTGAAGTGACAAATTAAGAGTTAATCATTTGCAAGACCTTAAAATATCTGCTGTCTAAATTCCTTGGAATGAACAAAGAAATTATCTGAAGGAATCGATCATCACAAGAAATAAAATAGGTTTGTTCTTCCGTCCGATTAAAGAAGTAGTGTTTCGATTTAATGCAAGAACGACAGATAAGCAAGTTCAACGTGATAGTATACACCTATTGACTAGTAATGAGTGTAGTAGCAATTTTGTTGTCCCTGAGATACCAACTATTACTCGAGGCGAAGTTTTATTACACCGAACATAACAACTTTCTAAAAAGACTACATACACCACTTTGAAAAAACCCAAATAGTCACTTAATTAAACATGCACAAGATGGACTATTTGGTTCTTTTTGCCCGTGTGGTATTTGTAAATATCTTATTTACTGTATTCAAGACAAGGAATCCTTGTGTAATAATTCCCGTGCATATAATTAACGCTAGCTAATATATATTACCGTATACTAAAGCAATCACAGATTATGAAAACGATGACAGTCCCATACCATACATTTGTATTGTTTTAGATCTTAAAATATGTAGTTTTTCTTTTTCTTTTTTAATTGCTTCCAGTAAGTAATATACTTATTTGAAATTACGACGACAGACACATACAGATTATACCGTTTACGATATTTCAGAGTTGAACGCGTTGCCAAGCGCTCCAAGCCAAGCAGAATAGTCAATGACGTCATTGTTGTCCAATGAAAAAGTAGTATGAAAAAATCCGGGAAATATGTTGATAAAACTGTTAACCGTTGAAATAGTCTTTGAAACTATTGACTGGCAAATAGTCTGTGGAATGAAAAAGCACAAATATTTCATTCTTTTTTTATATAGAAAAAACATACTGAGGTATAATAATTTAATTTATTATATTTTTGCATTTGTATTGTCTATATGTTGCTTTTTGGAAACATCTGGTGACAATTTATTGTAACAGGTAATGTAATGGCAGTAGCTATATTTGGACCTGCACTTGGTTTTGGACTCGGTGGTCTGTTCAGCAAAATTTATGTAACTTTAGAAGGTAACTGTTTTTCTAGACGTAATACTTTAAAGTTTTTTTGATAATTGCCTTATAACAGAATAAACCACTAAAGCTACATCGAAGTATGAGTCAAGTAAGAATTGAGGATTCAAGTTGTAACGAGAAAGGTATTTGTCTTTCTGTTTTCAAAATATTGTGGAATATTGCATTGAATTAAAAGTCTATTGTATAGAAAGTGTATCGCATTACAAACGTAAGTTCTCAAGAATTTTCTCGTTAATATTTATCATAATTCATTATTATAGAATTGGACGATCATAAGGTTTGTTAAAGTATTGACTGAAGCACTTTTCGTTTCTGCGCTTTATTAAAAGGTGTGACTACTTCATGTAAACTACAAACGGACACTTTTTATTATAAAAAAAGTTAAAAAATTAAATTATCTCTTCAAACTTTCCTTTTGTATTGTTTTAGTTTCTTTGAATGCGGAGTTTTAATGGAGAGCACGTGACATCATTTATATTGTGCTTAATTCGAAAAATCAACACTTCATTTATAAAGCTAACTGAGAAACGAAAATAAAGTAATTAACAACACATGTTTGATTATCTTTAAACGTATTTCTAACTTTCGTTGTCATTTCAACATGACATTTTCTACATAACAAAACACAAGCCATATGCAATAACATTAACGAAAACCAACTTTACTGCCGTGAATGTGTTTTACAGAATAGATAGGAATGAGCTAACACAACAGTAGAATTGGTCAGAAAAAAGTAAAGAATAGACAAAAAAAAGACAAAAAGCTAACAAAAAGAGAATAATAGAAAAAAATACAAATTCGTTAGAGAATACAGAAAACTTGAAATTGCATAAAAAATGAAAAAAATAAAGAGGTGAAGAAGCAAGGACTACCCGTTCTTAAATCCAGACCCTCATATAGAAATGATATTTCAGAAGCAATTGTAAAACGAATGAATGAGACGTTACTTGTCAATTCAGTAAATTGATGTATTCCTTTGCACCGTTCCTTCTACACATTTTGCAATTTGTTGCTATTTGTTGCTGAATATGTGACAAAAGAACAACACTATATTCGATTAACCTTTACCAGGCATGCCCAACCCAAACGTTTTTTTTTTAAGTGAACGGTAAAACTGCAATAAATAGTCTATAACTAAACAATTAAAAAACAATAAAGTATATAATTTTTTAGAACTAACGGTTTTCGTACATAATTGTAGATGTTAATATTTCGCCACGAGATCCAAGATGGATTGGTGCCTGGTGGATTGGATTCTTAACATTCGGAGTAGGAAGTATTTTAGCTGGACTTCCCGTCATATTTTTCCCAAAAAGATTCCAAGCGAAAACAACTAAGGTGGATACGAAAGTATTGAAGAAAAAAAGAAAAACAAGAATCATAGAAGGTATGAAAAGAGGAAATATGAACCGTTATTTCGAACTCATAGAAAATATGATTCCAAAAAAAAAAAAAAAAAAAAATATATTTGCGCATGAACCGACACAATCAGCCGTACACATTCGTTATTCTTGAAGAATATTAAATTCCAAAGAATATAATGCAGATTTAGAACAACAGCGTATGTTGGAACAATAAATGTAATTGATGCCGTCAATCTGCACTAACATGAATAAGGCTGAAAGAAATAATTTCATATAAACATTATGTTTTGTTCTTGTAAATGACGTTTTTGACGCAGTATGCAGTTTAACTTAGAATACTTATTTACAACAAGTAGATGTGTTTCAATATCTTTAACAAGATAAATTAGGTTTTTCATTCTCTTTGGAATTGTAATGCAAAGCTTTGTGCATCAATATGAATTATTATAACACAACATAACATATGAACGTATGTATTTTTCTCAAATTTCAATTTGTTGATAAAAATAAGAAGATGTGGTATAATTGCCAATGAGTACATATCCACCACACATTAAATGATGCGAATTTAAAGCAATTTTTAGGTCATCGTACGATCTTCTTACACCTTTTCAGTTTTCAACATTGGTTTACATTCACTTTGGATTTGCAAACAGAGCTATTGGCATTACTACGAAGAATTAGAACACAGCATAAAACATTGACGCACCTTTTTCAGTTTTCAATTTATTTATTTTAATTTGTTTTATTTGAGAATTTTTTAAAAGTATATATGGACTGTTTCGAAACAAACTGTATGTACTAATCATAGTGGGTCGATGTTTGATCCTTATTCTAGTCAGTGGCAGTGTTGCATTTGGACCAAAATACATTGAGACTCAATTCACTTTGCCTGCGTGGAAGTCTAGTTTAGTAATAGGTATGAATACTATTCAAACTTTTAAACTACACATGAATAACAGGTCATATCGTAAAATCTAATAATTAGCAATGTATTCTTCTACAACATCATTATAAACTATGTTTTAAGGTTGTGTGATTGTATGAAAATTTTCTCAAAACTTATAATGCAAAATTGAACCAAAAAGGCTTATTTCAAATCTCGTAGCCATGTATTAACATTCACTTCAATCTGATGAGAGACAGCTTCTAATCGAAATTATAAACAAAATAAGTTGTTGAAAGATGGATTTTATTTTGCCAGTATTTTATTGTTTAATAAAAGATAGTAGCATTCCCAAAGAGTTAAATGGTTCTCTCTAATTAACCCCAAACAAAACAAGCGTTTTAACATGAAGTGTATTATGAAAAGAAATGTCTTTGACGTAACACCATTTAATAGGAAACTAAAACGAGCAGTTTTCAAGCATAGACTTCGAATGCATATAATGCCTGTGAGTACGTATCTCGGAACGCTAAATGAAGGGCAAAGATACAATATATTTACTTCAATTGTTCATACGAGATGTAAATTTGAAAAAAAAACCTCTCGTCTTCTAAAAATTACAGTGCTGAATTGACAATGTTGATTAATCGTATATTTTTCGAGGTTTTTTTAATATGAATTAAAATTTAAAACTTGGGGTTAGCGTACGGTCTGCAACAATAGATATGCGTAGAAAGGAACATATCAAATAGAGGACATAAATGATTTGCCACAATTCCTCAAAATGACAAAATCGAAATCAAAATAAATAAAACAAGTTACAGTATTGAAACGGTATTCTACAAAATTATAAATTATCTAAGCTACTTTTTGACTTTATATTGACAAATAAAAAAAAAGAATCGATGTTCATTTCAGGTGTAACACGTATCTTTGCAGTATCTGTTGGAACTTTTGTTGGTGGGTATCTTACGTCTAAAAAGAGGATTTCACCACTAGGATGCGGCGGATTAATCGTCATTCTGTCATTATTTACCATTCTACAATACTTGGTACAAATATTTCTTGGTTGTCCAACTCCAGAAATAATTGGATATAACAGGTTTGCTTGCTTTCGTTTGGAATTTCTATTCACTCTGTTATTCTTTGATCTTAATACGTTCTTTTATATGTCTCCAACTGCATGGATACAACCATAGTCCTCCTTAGGTTCTTTTGTATGTCTCATACTGCATGGATACAACCATATCTTTTGTATGTCTCATACTGCATGGATACAACCATATCTTTTGTATGTCTCATACTGCATGGATAAAACCATATCTTTTGTATGTCTCATACTGCATGGATACAACCATATCTTTTGTATGTCTCATACTGCATGGATACAACCATAGTCCTCCTTTAAGAACATGAGTATAACTATCTAGTAAGAACTGTGTTTTGAAAACTTCGCCTTGAACCGAAACAAAGAAAATGACTGCGAGCTAAGTGTATAAAATCAACTTAATTAACCATTGCGGCAGTGGATATGTTTTTAACAATTGACATAAAAACTGAAAATCACTTAATAATTTATAAGTTAGTCTTTTAAGATAAGTAAAGATTTAAAAAGCCGTTTAGAAATATATGCAGATAAACGTAAAGCATATGGTGCGAATTCACATTAGACGACTTTCGAATTCGTGAACTTTCCCGTAAAGTTCCTATGTTACAATGCTTATGTTATTACGTCACTATAACCGATTGTTTGATGGCGTCGTTTACACCGATTGATCTCATATCAACCAGTACAATTCACTCATAAATACAACTCGAGATTTGTGAATTGATCTTGTTTGACGCGGGACATAATTTTTGGAATGATTGTCCAGCGTAGAAAATCTATGGATTATATTCATGCACTTAATCCAAGATTATCCAATTTAATACAAGTAAACTTAAAAACAACCATACAGAACCAGTAATTTACAAGGTCATCTTCGACCAGTGTATTTTCAATGTTGACGTCTGTTGTAACCAGCAAACAAGCAATTATACTAATGCTTTTATGTCTCTTTTTCAATTTCAGAAATTTAAGCAATTCATCTGATATCTGTACAAGTAATTGCAACTGCAATTCTGAGGACTATTTTCCTGTTTGCGGTTCGGATAACAATAACTACTTTTCACCTTGTCATGCCGGCTGTTCAAGTATATCTACATTACAGGTATATGCTTTATTGAATAAACAAGACTTAAGAGGGGATAACAAGGGTTGCAATTAAAACAAATTATTCAATGAAAAAGACACTATGACCAAAAGGAAGGAAACATAATGAGGGAAAGTGTTTGCTTTGGTAACAATATATTAGAGAATTAAACACTTTTACTACAATAGCAAGCATCAAATTTATCAATATCATAAGCCAAAAAGCTACGGTTAATGTTGGTCTTCTATAGCGTAGCTGTCCTAAATATAATGATTTCCTTCAATAATATATATATATCGAGGAAGTTGCACTTAATGTTGAAATCAATAACATGTTTTTTTCACTTTAAAATGTTTTAGAGATGTTGACGTTGACCTCAAAACATGATTTATGTCTAACGACACCCAAATACCCAAACGATATCTAGAATTCCCGTTTTTTTGCTGCATAAATATAAGATTGTTAACTGTATTTTGTAAATGAATTGAACTTTCAATACAAACGGATAATGAAAAACAATCAATTAATTCAATAAAGTAGGATCGACATGTAATTTTTAAAAATAAATATCACAGTTATTAAGGTGGTACCCAACACCTTGACTAATATTAATTTGGCTCGTTTAATTTTCATAAAAATTTGACAAAATGTTTACTTTGACCCTTTGACAAAAATATAAAAATTTCAAAAAATTTGAACCAACCACTTTATCAGAAAAATTTCATTGGTTATATAGCAGTTTGACAAACACTAATTTTGATCATTGAGAAGCTTAATATTTCCTTAACAATACAACGTGATTAAAACGTTTAGCTGATTTTTACAGAGTTATCTCCCTGTAGTGTTAGGTACCACCTTAATATACAATGTAAAGCAAAAACGTAAAGATAAAAAAGGAGGTAATATAGATTCTCTGCTCAAGTCTAAATCATTACTCTTCCGTCGAGATTCTAACTCGTCTGAACGGCCAGTGACTGTATGGAGCAAAAGTGCATATTGTTAATCCATTTTGATTGCACAAAAAAGCAGAGTTGCAATATAAATAAGTTATATTTCTATTTGAAAGGGATTTACGAACTGTACATGTATAGGTCCAACAGCGACAGGTAAACCTGGTTTATGTTCATCTGACTGTCAAATGTTGGTTCCCTATCTTGTTGTTACCTGTGTGTTTAGTTTGGTCGAATCATTGGGTATAATGCCAAGTTTGATATTCATGTTGAGGTAAATTGATTATAATAATCAGACCTTGACCATAACGAATTAGAAAGTACTTTCGAATAAGGGTAGCAAAAGAAAAACTGTAAATTTTGTAAAACACAAAATACACAAATGAACAATACTGGTATAAATTCAATGTTGAAAATCATTCTGGGGTTGCAGTTTTCCCCTTGAAAATGTAATACTGATGTTGTATTTCGTTTATCTACGCTTTTATATATGTAGGTAATCATAAAACTATATAAAAACTAATTTGATATATTCTATTTCTTGTTTTTAGATCAGTTAAAGAAAATCAGAAAGGAATAGCTATAGCTTTCTCAGCATTTATTACAACTTTATTAGGTAAGCAGTGAGGATATTTTTCTTAAAAATCTGTTCGAAAATTCTCGCATACCTTTCAATGTATAAAGTCGATAAAACACCCGACCCGAAAGTATGCAATTGGTCATGTCCGTGAACTATCTGGTTGTGTCTCCATCTCTCTAATCAATGACCGAATCACACTGTTAGATAATATTGAGACTATATTTCCCACTGGTTCAGCTGATTGATTTCGTTTGACTCAGTTTTTATGGACTTTTCCTTTTAGAATTTGCATTGGAGTTCGGTATTTTTGTTGTACCTTGTTGACAGTGTGTATCTCTTGTGTATCTCTTATTTTTGTAAGTTTTCTCAATGACAGCCAATGTTTCCCATAGCAAACATGCATTTAGTTCTTATTAATTTATGAGTTGTTTTAAAAGCAAATATCTTCAAAAGTTGAAAACATGTACTACATTCAGGCAACACAAAATGTATAATGTTTCAAAAAAAGGGAACACATTTTTTTTTTAATTAAAATGTATTTCTCGTCTAATAAATTTTGAACCTAAATTTAGACCTTGAAATAGACCAACATTTATATTTTTGAAAGTAATCTCTCGACTAAAATTAAGGTACCGTGAAGCAAATTGCCGGTCAACCTATACACGAATAAACGTTAACAACGGATCTTTTTCAATTTCACTTTGATTACAAATCAAACTAATAACTTCAGATTGCCTAAAAACAAGCAAGATTCATTAAAACAAATTAGTGCTATTTCATGTTTTACCCAACTAGAAATAGTAAGCGTCAGCATTCTGTTCGTGGAAAACAGAGTTAAGCAACTGTGATTTGGACATGCACACACAAATGTTAACGGTAAAAGTCAAAAATGTCTTAAAGACCATTTTACGTAAATCCATAAACATCTTATCCAGCCCTCTAATATTTGCTATAAACAACTGTCATACAAGTGGGAGGCTAGGATAGCTATAAAACCAGGTTTAACCCACCGTTTATTTCTGAAATGCCTGTACCAAGTCAGGAATATGGCAGTTGTTTTTCACTTGACAAGTTCAGTTGATTGATAGCGTTTAATTTTGTGAGTTTTTATGGATTTCCTCTTTGAATAAGATATTTGTGGTATACTTTTTTGCTGTTCCAAACACCAAAGGGATATATTCCTCATTATTTTTCTTTAATGCAAGTATGCACTGTCTTGTGCTTCGTTGTTCTTTGACGTCAATTAAAAACCATGGCGTTTTCAAACCACATGCAAAACTATTGGTAAAACATCATCCGAGTGTGATGAATAAATATCATTTAAATTGTTTAACTAATGTGTACTTAGTTTCTTTGATAAAAACAATCGTGGTTTTTCTATATATATGTATATTCTAAATGAACTTTGTTAAACAAATTTATTAATATTCTAGGTTGGTTCTTAGGGCCTATTATCTTTGGGGAAATAATTGACATGTGTTGCAAAATATGGAGCTCACGGTGTGGAGTAAAGGGATCATGCGCGTTGTACAACAATGTGAACTTCCGATATGCTACTTATGGTTTCAGCCTCATACTGAGATGTATTGTTCTAATAATAGACATCGTGGCTTACTTAATTGCACGAAAGAAAACGGATTGGAGTACTGGAGAAACTAGACGTGAACGTAAAAACGAATTGCCTGAAAAACAAAGTTTCATCGTAGATGAAGGGGATACTAATGGAAACAATAGTTACATCAAGACATTTTTAGAAAATAAGGAATTTAAAGAAACAAATATTTTATGTTAATACAATTGAATCACAAAGTACAATGCCTTTATACACGTGAAGTCTCATGTTGACGTTCAACCATCTGACGATATTTTATAAGACTTTTCTAGGTCATGTCGACGATCTATATTCATACGACATTTGATAAGACCAACTAAACAATGATAGAAGTTTATTTACAACATCTGACTGAGAAATCGAAGACTTCCAAGTTCGCCAAATAAATGTTGATGCAGCTCATTATCAATCGTACAAATGCGTCACAAACATAATGATATCAAAATTCTGTCTCTTTCTTTGTGGATCGATGTGATCTTAGTTTCAAATAAACAAAATGTATGACACCTTTTGCTAAATAAACTTACTATACAATCAGCATGCAGGGAAGAATTGTAAATACCTTCCTAACTATGTACACATGAGATGTAGAGTATACGTCAAAGGACAGAAAATGACGACAAAAATAACTCTAAAAAACACAAATAGAGACAGTTTTTTACAGTTGCTATAAAATAACTTAAGTATTAAATCGTCTCTAGTCTATAAAGGTTGTGAATAGTTGAGAGCCAACATAAGTTTACAGATGTAAATCTATGCATCATAAATATACAAACCAACATAACAAAAAATTGGCAAAATATTGCAACAGGAGCGAGACCTGATGCGTCGACATGATGAGCATCTTCTGCTTAGTATGCATGACTTATCAAAGTTACAAACCTTAAACTTTTTTGTGAGTTTGCTGTATTTAATACCGCTGCTTTTGAACTGCATGATTAATAACGGTTATTGTTTTATTGAAATATGTCGTTATAAAATTTGTATCTTTAATTCTTAATTATAGAATGAATATCCCACATGCAGAGGTCTGATTCCTTATCAGGGTTTGGATTTCGTTTTGTTTCTTTTATTAGATCTTCCAACGTTTGTACAAGGTTTTGCTTTTTTTTTTTAATTTTGGTTTCGAGAATCATTGAAGAGACATAATTTATTGACATGCGCATGTCAAATTTATACTGTCAATGTAAGTATAACATCTTACACTTTTTCATGAATTTGGTGTGTTTAATACCGATGCTGTTGTACTGCATGATTGATAAGGTTATTGTCTGATTGAAATATGCGTAATAAAATTTGAATTCAAAATACGAAATTATGGAATAAATCTTCCTCATGCAAAAGTCTGCTTCCTTGTCCAGTTTTGGCTTTCATTTTGTTTCTTGTATAAGTTTTTCATACGTTTGAAGAAAGTTTTGGATTTTTTAAATATTTTGGTTTCGAGAATCATTGAAGAGACATTATTTATTGACATGCGCATGTCACATTTGTACCGTCAATGTAACTTTAATATAACTTAAATTGTTTGTGAGTTTTGTGTGTTTAATACCGCTGCTGTTGTACTGCATGATTAATAAATATTATTGTTTGAGTGAAATATGCCGTTATAAAATTTGTATTCCAAAATTTAAAATTATGGAATGAATCTCCATCATGCAAAATTCCTTGTTCGCGTTTGGCTTTCATTTTGTTGCTTTTATTAGATCTTTCAACGTTTGTACAAGGTTTTGGATTTTTTAAATATTTTGGTTTCGAGAATCAATTGAATGACATTATCTATCGATATGCGCATGTCAAATTTGTAGTGTCAATATAACTATAACATACATTTCTCCAACTCTCTCAGGCAAAGTTCACTTTAGGAATATTTGGCTGTTCTTTTGGGTCCTTTCTATTTTGATAGCTCAGTAAAAATTCCAACATTTATATACCAATTGCTTACAATTTTGTTTGGGTTTGATTGTTCCTGGTTTAGTTTAAACACATTTCTAGTTATAGAGAAAGTCCAAATAAATGCCCATACGAAATAATACAGCGGAGGCCCGTAGGGACGATGCCTATTATTCCCCAGTATTGGACAGTTGTTTTGACTTTCGCTTACTTAAAATACACTTTAAGTATTTAAAATCAATATTCAGAGTATAATATTTAGAGTAATTGTATTTCATTTTGTAATGGTTTTCATGTCATTTTCCCGGTATTGTACCCAATCATCCGCAAGCAAAATTTAAGATCAAGCTGACCATCTACTCACTAAACGGAGTATTTGTGAGCAGTACCATACACACTATAAAAAAAAATCTTGAATGAAGTTCATCCAGATTTATGTTTAACATTTTGTTAGTCATTGGCTCCGCACGTTTTCTTGTGGGTTTTAAAGGATATTTATTTGTGTCTGTAAGTTTATGGATTATGTGTGTTTTTATTTTGATAAATACTGGGTGAAGAATCGGCTAAGAAAAAAGAAATGGTACAACTAGAATAGTTGTCCAGATATGTAACACTGTAGTTTAGGTTATTTAACTAATAAGGGTGTAAATATTGTTCTATATTTCAAACCATTCTATTAGATGAAAAAAAGATTAAACAAGAAAAAGAGAGTTTCAAACATATCCCATCATTTTTTCCTTCTGTTCATTACAACGAACACAAATGTTATCTCACTTACTACGAATGAATAGATTAAATGATTTGAAAATGATACAAACAAATATTCATCGAATATTAATTTATAGACATTCCACAAATATATGTTTTCCCTTTGGTAAGCAGATTCTATTTCTTTAACAAAAGCGTATATTTATTGTTATATAATTTACTTTTGGATGTAACACGTCTTCCGATTGGCTGACGTTGTTTTGTTTATCAGCTCATAGACATAATTTTGTCATGTGACCTTGACGTCATCAACGATTTTTCATGATTTACTCCGGTTTAAAATGGAATTAAGAATTAAACTATAAGAAATGACTAATATTTTTTCTGTCTATTCGAAATAACATAAAAAAATGTGGTGCACACTTTAAAATAACCCGCTACGCGGGTTATTCAGTGTGCACCACATTTTTGATGTTATTTCTTCATAGACAGAAAAAATATTACAGTCATTTCTTAAATAGTTGAAATCAATTATGATAAAAGTTTTTTTTACTAAAAAATTACGTGGTATAGAAAGATTATTTCTTTTGGTATATAGAACACTTATAGTGCTTCATGATAAATTAATTGTACTCATACATTTGTACCAGGTCTAATGAGTCTTAAATACCACACAATGCAAACTGAAAATATTTTTTATTCTTCCGTATACATGGTATAATCAGAGGAGAAACAATGATTTTTTTTTAATCCTGATGTTAACAAACATTTCTAGATTCGATTTTGTATTTCTTTATGTCAGGTTAACAACTACTTTTTTAATTTCATATAAACATTTCAATATTAACTTCGTCATGTCCATTCCCGATATAACTGTTGTGTTTGTCACTGAACATATAACAAAAACAGTGAATGAATACGTGATATTACGCATTTCTGTCGAAAATTGAATTTAAAACGCACTTAATTTAACAGAAGCATTATCAAAATTTTATCAACACTTCTTAAAAAGTTTATCCCTTAGTACTATATTCAAATTATAACATCGAACATTTAAATTATACCGAATACCCCATCTTGACCCTTTCAGTTTCGTGAACTATTTATTCTAACCACAATATTATTGTAGAATCTTCATGTAACGATAAAAAGTAATAATACTGTTGTATCATTTACACTCACCGATTAACGCTTCTGTTTTTGAAGTATGTTCATGTATTTATTGAAATGCAACAAATGTTTTATCTGTACAAAATCAAAATGCAGCATTTTAAATTTCTAGGAGATGATATCTTAAACGGTTTAAAAGCAAATCTTTTAAGGGGCATTAGTTGTCAAATTCATGATCATCGATTTAATTCAAATTCTCATACTTGATTTATATCATACTAAAACGTATATCCAAATTATAAAAAAGTCTAAAACGAACAACTTACGATGTATGTACTGGATAATATGTATCAGCATTTCGTGAGTATTTTAGTCTAGACGCAATCTACATAATCATAACGTTGACATCTGAGGACAGCCGACGGTCATATTACCCGATATAAACATATATATATAAAGCCCAAACAACATCGATTTTGTGTGTTAATCACATTACATAAACTGCTTGATAAATGAGTTAGGTATTGACAATTCACTTGCAAACTCAACATATACCCCCACGACACTTACTAAATCCTGGATAATTATAGGTCTGTTCTGTGTTCCTTTGGAATTTCAACCAGAGATGAAAAACTGGATCTTCGATCACTGTATTGGATACCTAAACTTCATAAGTATCCTTACAAACAACGGCATATTGGGAGGTCTTCCAAGTGCTCCACGAAACCTCTTTCTGAATTATTAACATCAATTTTAACAGCAATCAAAGCCGGGCTTCAAAGTTATCGTGAAACTACTTATTCAAGAGGTGGCGTGAATCATATTTGGATACTACAAAATTCTTTTAGAGTATATACAATCTAAGACTCTTTCATCTTGCAATAGTATTTAAACATTAATTTTTACTTTTCTACACTTTACACAAGTATTCCCCATTCCAAACTAAAAGACAAATGTAAAGAGTTGGTCCTGCTTTGTTTCATAAAAAAGAATGGCCAACGTAGATACAAGTATCTGGTCTTAGGAAGGGATAAATCCTACTTTGTAAAAAATCACTCTGATTCTAACAAAAAATCTGAGATTACCAAGATGCTTGATTTCTTGATTGACAACATATTTGCTACGTTTGGAGAACGTGTTTTTCAAAAAAAAAACAATCGGCATTCCCATGGAAACCAACTGTGCCCATCCTCATGCCGACTTGTTTCTTTATTCATATGAGGCTGACTTCATACAGATACTTCTTAGGAAGAAAGAAAAGAAGTTAGCAGTATCCTTTAACTTTACTTTCCGCTAAATAGATGATGTTCCCTCACTAAATAATTCAAAATTTGGTGACTATGTTGAACACATCTATCCAGTTGAACTTGAGATAAAGGATACAACAGATACCGTTTAGTCTGCCACATATCTTGACATACATCTAGAAATTGACAATGAGGGTCGGTTGAAAACACAACTTTATGACAAAAGAGATGATTTCAGCTTCCCAAATGTGAACTTTTCATTTTTATGTAGCAACATTCAAGCAGCGCCTGCATACGGAGTATATATCTTCCAGTTAATGCGATACTCTAGGGCTTGTATGTCCTATCATGATTTCCTTGATAGAGGGTTGCTGCTCACAAGGAAGCTATTAAACCAAGTGTTCCAAGTGGTGAAGTTGAAATCATCCCTTCATTAACTTTATGAACGCCATCACTAGTTACGGAATATCCGTTTCACAGATGATAGCGGATATGTTCCTAAAGTCGTAACTACAATTCCGTCCCCTTTTCCAAAATGTGATCTACTGAATTAGACTTATTACCGGGTTTGTAATTACATGAGC